GATGGGAGTCTGCAAATGGCTCTTTTCAAGTTATCCAAAACAAAGCTCATCAGCTTTCTCCAGAATCTGTTCCCAGTCCAGAACCTTATTCAAACCAAATCCATCCTCCCAAGAGAAAAACTTAAGAAGCCATCTCCCGCCTTTGCCATGGCAGCATCAGAACTGGACTAACTGGGATGCAGTGCAGGATGTGGCCTCTGTCTCAGGTAGGTGGGGCCCCAGGGGCTGCTCCTAGAAGCAACACGCCCACCTCCCCACCTTGGCAACCCTCTTTCCCTACCCGGCAGCTTCACTGGCCTGCAAACTCCTGTTTGGGCCATGCACAGCTGTACAGAGGAAGCTCGGTTCTACCCAATAGGCTGCAGACATGGGCGCTGTTTCCTGTCCCAAGTCAGAGGCCTGTGCCCCAGTCTCTGAACCTCAGCTGTGCACCAGCGCCCGGACTTTTTAGACAGCTTCTGCTCAGCTCCAGGTCTGCTTCTCAGTCTCTGTCACGCCCACCAAGAGGCCCTTCTTATCTTCCTGTGTTTGGTGTGCCCCTTCACCACCACACTTGGCACTATACTGCATTTTTAGGGGCATGGTGGCCACACCTGTAATCTCTGCACTCAGGAGGCTGAGGCAGGAAGATCACTAGTTCAAGGCCAGTCTAGATGACAGAAGAAAGTTCAAGGCCAGCCTGAATTCCACTGTGAGACCCTCAAAAACGAAAAACAAAAACCAACACCTAACAGAAGACTTCTGTATGGGGCAGAGCAGCTCATTGTCAGCGGGATGTCAACATGAACACTGAATTTAGGGCCAGATGGTAAGCAGTAAAATGTAGTAAAGGGGGCTTTAGAATCTGAAGCCCTGGGCATGAATTTCAATTCTGTCATTTCTAAGCCAGACGGGTAAGTTAGTGAGCCTAAATCTTAGTTTCCATGCCTGAAACATATGCAAAATAGTACCTACTAAACTGGATTGGTGGCCCACGCCTCTCATCCCAACCCTCTGGAAGGCTGAGGCAGGAGGATCACAAGTTCCAGCCTTGGTAACTTTGCCACTAAGCAAGATGCTGCCCCAAGATAAAAAATAAAAAACAGGGGCTGGGGATTTAGCTCAGTGGTAGAACACTTGTGTAGCAAGCTAGAACCCTGGGTTTGGTCCTTAGCACCAAAAAATAAAAAAATAAAGGGATCCAAGGCACAGCTCACTGTAAAGGCCCTGGGTTCAATCTCTGGTACTACAAAAAAGGAAAAAAGGTGTCCTTGCTGGGTGACTGCACTGGTTAGTCAATGAGACAAAGGTGCACCAGTTAGGCACAGAGCAGGCTTCTAGGGCTGTAACAAATGCTAAAGCCAGCAAGGTGTGGTGGTGCACTCCTGTAATCCCAGTACTTGGGAGGCTGAGGCAGGAGGATCGCTGCAGTGAAACCAGCCTGGGCTACAAAGTGAGCTCAAGACCACCCTGAACTGTAAAGCAAGATCCCCCTCCCCCGCCCCGCCCCGCCTCAAAAAGGCAAAAAAAAGAAGCTAAGACCCAAAGCCACACTTTGTCCTTTTGGAAAGGAATACTGTACTCTTCTAATACCTTGACCACACCCTGAGCCCAACCAGCTGAGGAGGGAGGTCTGATAGCAAAAGACAAGCACTCAAGGCAATGCCATCACCACTGCTGATGTTATTTCGGTTTGGTTTTTTAAGTCAAGATTTCACTACATATTTTAGGCTGGCATTGAACTCACTGTGTAGCCCAGGCTAGCCTTCAGCTTGCTATAATCCTCCTGCCTCAGCCTCCCCAGTGGGAAGATAGGCATGCGACAACACACCCAGTACATCATCACTGCTGAGAAACAACTTAAAACACCTGCCCTATGCACTGTATCATCCTGAGACATGAAAACAATGCACATACCTGTAGGCTACTGAGTGAACATAGTGTAAATCATGAAGCTTGGAATGTAGGTATCTGTAGAGGATAAACTTAGTCATGGAGTTGCCCGAAACAAGGAACTCACCATGATACACTATGTAAATAATGAAGAGCAACTGGTAAAAGAACTCAGTTTCAAAGCACAAGAATCCAACGTGATCAATGAGAGGGTCCCCATATGTAAAATCTTCTTGCCAGGCATGGTGGTGAATTCCTGTAAACCTAGCACTTGGGAGGCCGAGGCAGGAGGATTCCCATGAGTTTGAGGCCAGCATGGTCTGCGTAGTATGCCCAGGGATAAAGTAAACTATAGAGAAAGACCCTATCTCAAAAAAGACCAAAAAATAAGTAAATCTTCTAAAGTTATTGGTCTGATTACACCACTTAACCGCAGTGACTATACTTGCAAACCTTTTCATTTTGTTAAAATATGGAATTCTGCTGTACCTAATTTCTAATTTAGAGAAAGAAACCACTGTCTTGCCAGTTTTAATACTCAAATACATGAGTGAACTTTCTTTTTTGTTGTTTTTTGAGACAGAGTCTCACTGTGTAGACCAGACTGGCCGTAAACTCGAGATAATCCTCCTGCCTCAGCCTCCTGAGTGCTAGGATTATAGGCATGCACAAGCACGTTCAGCTGATTAAACATTCTTTTTCTTTTTTTAAACATCCTTGGTCCCTGATTTAACTTTTAATAATATAAATGTAAACCAAGTTTGATGGTGCATGCCTATAAATCTCAGCACTCAGAAGGCTGAGATAGGAGGATCACTGCAAATTGAAGATCTGCCTGGGTTACAAAGTGAGCTCAAGACCAGCCTGAATTGCATATTGAGTCACTGTGCAAAATCATAATAACAATAATAATGGAAGTGTAATATTTTTTAACAAACAGGAACTCACATTCAAAGCATAAGAAAATAGAAAACACAAAAATACAAAGTGATCGATGAGAGGGTGCTCATATGTAAAATCTTCTTGCTAGGCATGGTGGCAAATTAACAAATCAATGTCACGTATCATATTTGTGACATAACTGCCCACCAATAAAGTAAGTACACAAAGGCAAAAGCTTTACAAGTACCTCTGTTTAAAACTATTCTCTTAATCCCAGAATTTTAAAAATTAAGTAAAAAAAATTTTTAAGAACTTTAAAGAGATTTTTCCAAACTCTGTTCTAGGCTCTGCTGAGAATAAAATGCCCAGTTATGGGGCTGGGGATTTAGCTCAGCGGCATAAGCGCCTGCCTTGCAAGCAGGCAGTCATGAGTTCAATCCCTGGTACCGATAAAAACAAAAAAGACAAAAAAATAAAATAAAATAAAATAAAATGCCCAGTTATTAAACTGTCCCTTCATTTTCAGGCCAGCTAATTTGTTAATGTTAATTGTACTTACACTGGTGAACTTAATTTTTCATTTATTTTAAAACCCCTTTCACCTTGAAGAAAGTTTCTTTTATTTCCATATTTCCATATGGTCACACACAAAAAAAAAACTTATGCCTTCCTCCAAAACTGAGAAGAGATGTGTTTGAGATTAGGATTCTAACCTGGTCAATACTGTACACTCTACTGATTTGAAAATAATCTCTTGGTGAAAACAAACATATATAGTAAAAACATAGGGACTATTTAGAGATCAAGAAAAAAGTCATTTCTGGGGATAAAGGAGTTCTGAAAAATATAAGACTCTATCTTAAGAGAAATTACTCATTAAAATATTAATTTAAAAAAAATTTTTTTTTATCAGTACCAGGGATAGAACTCACGACCGCACACTTGCTAGGCAGGCACTTACGCAGATGAGCTAAATCCCCAGCCCCTAATTTTTTAAAATTAATATTAAAGAAAAAGGGAATACTTTTTAAAACTACATAAAACAAAATGTGTCTAAGGAGATCTCTTTGGTATTTCCTGAAAGAAATTGTTTAGTATTTTTCTGATTTGAGGAAAACAAAGTAACAGAATGAGCAATCTAAACAATCAAGCATCACAATCAACAAAATTATCTGCCTCCTGTCCTACCTGACCCTTAACTCATGTCTTCCAGGCTCTATCCCAGGAGAATTCTAGCGACTAAGTAAAAATACCGACTACAATGTAGCTACAAGCAGAGCACAGGAGTCTTAAGAATCCAACCAACCTGATGGATGACTATTTTCATAACACTGCAGGGAAATTTACATGAACCAGAGGAAGAAATGAGGTAGGCTGAAGAGGCCTCAGCCAGCAGGGGTCCTGAAAAGGAAGCTGCCAGTTTGTAAAAGAGCAGGGAAAACTCTAGACCACAGGAAATTCCTTGGACCCTAATTGCCACTGTTCTACAGCAATCTTATTAAGCAAAGCTTTACCACATCAAGAAGCGGGTCTGGATGAGTCCCCCTCAGAAATGAGAAAGGGAGAATTTACAAAGTCATTCTCTTCCATTTGCTCACCCATTTCAGGCTCTGCCACAGCAAAAACCCAACTTAGAAAGGGAAAAGAACTAAGAAAAGGCACGCCGAAAGAGAATGCCAGGAGTCATTAATGGTCGGTTAAATTACCAGAATTTTAACTGGAATCCTCTAAACTGAAAATATACACATTTTATTAAACACCAAGGAACGTATCTGGAAGCCACCTCCCAACACAAAGGCACGTTTAAGCACCTTATACGATGAAATACCCTCACGTATTTGGGGTGTCAAATGCTTTCTTCAGAAACCTACTCCAAACATTCTGAACCCATCCAAAATTATTCTTTAAATTCCTAAAGAAACGCGATTCACCATTATTTGAACCTGGTCCTTCCTTCTCGAATACCCTTAAGAAAAAGGCACAACTCAAGATCTTCCCTTCTTCAGACCTTAAAAGGACGAAAAGAAGCAAGCGGAGTTCCGAAGGAAGAAAGAAGGCAAGTGAAGAAAGCAGAATACAACCAGAGACCTCCCGGATTCATTTTATTCTCGGCGAATGTCACCTCCATTCTTTCTACAAAAACCCAAACGCCCGGTACCCCTGGCGCAACACCATGCCCAGCCAAAGCGCCAAAGAGTTGCCAACTAAGTCCCTCGAGGCGTCGTCCCCCGCCCCAGCCTGCTCACCTCATCGGCGCTCAGCTCCTCCATCGCTTTCCTCTTAATGGTGACAGGCGTTAGGAGAGGTCCTTCTGTTCTCGAGACCGCGGCGGGAGCAAGGCGAGGAGGGGAAGGTGTCTAGCAGGCAGGCTGGTCCCCCGAATGGGGGAGGTTTCAGAATTGCATAGTCAGAGGTTAAAAGCTAAGAACACGAGGCACTGAGCTGCCTGGACTGGGTGGCCTCCGCCGCCTCTGCGACTCCCTCAGCTGCCCGAGCCCTGCAGCCGCCTCTGGCCGCCGCTGCGACAGGGTGAGCTGAAGGCGCCACTCGCCGCCCGGGTTACCCAGAGGGGCAGCGCGGTCGCCAGCTCCTCGCGTGCCCACAGCCTGCGGGTGGCGGCGCGGCAGCTGCGTCTTCTCCAGAGGATCCTGCTCTCCTCTCCCCACCCTCGGCCTCCGGCGGGAACGACTCCACCGCAGAGTGGATGCTCCCAAGCAAGAAGCCCCCACAGCCGCCCTGACGGGGCCCTGCACTGTGTAGAGAAGCCCCTCCCCTCTAAAAGCAGGCCGGACACGCCCCTCCTCCACGCTGGAACCCGGGCCGGGGAAGGGGGAGGGTGGGACTCGCGATGCTCTCGTTGGAAGCGTAAATCCTCCTACCCCTCCACCCCTACTCTTACCCCTCGCCCCACCAAGTATTATTCATCAAAACAACAGGGCGGCCATCTTTGAAAGGGATCACGTGACCCCTGCCAGGGGGCGGGGCTTCGGGCTCTAGGATGTGGCAGCCAATAGGCTGAGGGCATCGCACCGCCGATTTCCTCTTGCTTGCGTATCTCCCCGCCCTCTTCCCACCCCTTTCCCCGCGGCAGTACTTGGCGGGGGAGGGGCGAAAATTGCTGCGGACTGCCAGGGAGCGGGTGGGCGGGGCGTTGCCGTGGCGACCGCGCTGGGGGCGGTGGCGGGTCGCTGGCCCAGGTAAGGCTGACGGGGAAGCCACGGCGCCGGCCGCAGTATGCCCGCACGGCCTGGAGGGGGCGCGTCCGCTGTGTAGTGGCGTGAAGCCCGGCCACCTACGGCCGCCTGGACGCTGCCACCTGGAAAGAGCAAAAAGAGGACGTGTCCTTTCTGCTGGAAGCGTCATCCTTCATTCCACCCTCCCCCGGGGACCTGATGCAAGGAAACTAACAGAAGGACTGCCGTTAAATTTGCTTTTGTTTGGGCTTTTTTTAAAAGAGCGGCTTTTGGGGATTTAGCTCAGCAGCATAAGCATCTGCCTGGCAAGTGCGATGTCGTGAGTTTGATCCCCGGTACCACCAAAAAAAAAAACAAAACAAAACAAAACAAAAAAACGGCTTTCCGCAGGCTCAGGCACGCCTATAATCCCAGCAGTTGGGAGGCTAAAGCAGGAGGATCGCTGTGAGTTCAGCGCCACGCTGGGCTATCTAATAGTGAGTTCGAGGCCAGCCTAAACTACATAGCAATCGAGATCCTGCCACAGAAAAACAAAAGCGGGCCCAGGGATGTGGCTCAGCGGAACAGTGCCTGCCAGGCAAATGTGAGGCCCTGAGTTATATTTCCAGTCCAAAAAAACAAAAAACAAAAAAACCCAATTCATACAAAACTGAATTGAGTGGCCAGATTAACAGTAACAAATTTTAAACACAGTGTTGCCACAGACAGAATATATTGTATCGGGTGGTTTACTAAGCCATAACCTTTTTCTTTTTTTGAAGCAGTCCCACTATGTGTGCAAGCTGGCCTTGAACTCACTATGTAGCCCAAGGTGGTCTCAAATTTACCGCAGTCTTTGACCTGCCTCAGTTTCCCCAGTGCGGGGATTACACGTGTGCCACCATGCCAGTCCTAAAACATAATCTTAAAAGTTCCATTCCAGCATTAAAAGAGTTACACTTTATTTACCCAATGCTAGATAGGAACTCGGCTACTAGATACGTAAGGAATTTGTGAGTAAAATTAGACCACTGCTGGCTTTGCCTTATCTGCTTTCCAGGAAAAGAATTCCGTGAATTCCCACAGATCAGCTCCTCCTGGAGCCCAGGCGTGGGGAAGCTGGGGAAAGGGGCACCGCCAACAGACACAGAGAGAAGAGCCTCAGGATTTTAGAGAAAAGGAGAACAAAGGAAGATTGAGTTTTCCATCAGAGGGATAGATCTTGAGAGGCTCATGCCACGGGTGTTTAAAAGAATTATCCAAGGGGCACAGGAGGCTGAGGCAGGAGGATCTCCATAATGAGACCCAGTCTTCAAAAAATAAAAAGAGGGGCTGGGGATTTAGCTCAGCAGCATAAGCTCCTGCCTTGCAAGCAGGTAGTCATGAGTTCGATCCCTGGTACCGATAAAAAAGACAAAAATAAATAAAAAAATAAAAATAAAAAGAAACCCCAATAGTCCAGGGACGTAGGAAAATGAAATTTATTTATGGACCACAAAGAAGCAGTAGATGAATCCAAGGAAGGACCAGGGTGACAGGCTGAGGTCTCATGCTTGATTTTAACATGGAAAGGGACCTGGAAAGTTAATGCCAAAGCAGTTTTATCAGGTCACCATGGCTATATTGCTGTCCAGGTCTCATAAAATCAAAATAAAATAAAATAAAAACTTGTGTGTCTGATTTACTTCAGTTAACATTATGATCAGAAGGTGTAGCTATTTTCTTGTGAATGTCTCAAGTTTATTCTTCTTTCTGGCAGAGCAGTACTCCACCTTGGATAAACACATTTTCTTTATTCATTCATCTGTTGATGGACATATAGGCTGCTTCAAAGATTCAGCTAGTGAATACTACTATAAATATGGGTGTGCCTGGATCACTGATACATGACTTAACTCTTTGGTGAAGGTGCCTAGAAGGGGAATAGCTGCGTCAAATGGCATTTCGAGCTTTAGTCTGGGAAGGAATCTCCACACTGACCTCCCAGCATGGGAGGAGTTTGCATACCTGCAGCAATGTGACAGCTTCCCTCCCCCGCAGCCTCACAACATTTACTTGATTTCTCGATAACGGCCAGCAGTTCTGGTTGATGGCATCTTTGGAACTGGTTCTATGGGTTAGAGAAAAGCCACTCTCCCTTTGCAATGCTGTCCCTGGTAGGAGGTGGGGGACATCCCCTCCCCCTGTACTGGGCAACAGCTCCTGCTTGAGGCAGGCTTTGAGGCTCTGCTCTTTCCCTAGAATCCAATGTGATTGGATCCATCCCTTATTCCTCCTCACCCAACCAATAATCTACTTTTTGTTTATTTGTTTCATTTTTGTTTGAGCCAAAGTCTTTTTTTTTTTTTTTTTTTTTTTTTTTTTTCCTTTTTATCGGTACCAGGGATTGAACTCATGACTGCCTGCTTGCAAGGCAGGTGCTTATGCCACTGAGCTAAATCCCCAGCCCCTTGAGCCAAAGTCTTGCTGTGTAGCCCAGGCTGGCCTTAAACTCATAGCGATCCTCCTGCCTCAGCCTCCCAAGTGCTGGAGTAATAGGCATGTGCCAGTATGGCCAGCTGTCTTCTCCGTTTCTTGGAGTTTCATTTGTAGCACAAACATTTAAATTCGAGATGATCTATTTTTTTCTTGTATCACTTGTGCCGTGTGTAGAATGCTACCTTTTCACAAGCAGTTTGATCATCTGCTCTTAAAATATTGTAAACAAGTATCCTTCCTATTTTGTGGTTGGAGAAAGTGAAATCAAAGTTATCTGGCCATTCACAAGTTAAATAAAATAGGAAGCTGTTCGAATTGGTCCTCCTGAAGTCGTTTCCTATCATAAAAATGTCTGTCAGTGGATAATAAAGATAAATCCGAAGGGCCCAGCGGCTACGCGGGAAACCGTGCACGCTGTGAGCGCCTGCAGCGGCGCTGCTCGGCTCGCTCCAGGCGCGGGAGTGTACGCGAGACGGGAGTGCGCCCCCTGCCGGCAGGAGTGTGCGCGAGGCGGCAGTGCGCCCCCTGCCGGCAGGCGGACCCTTCCTGCTCTGCCCGCCCTGCGGCCCGGGCGTCAGACCTCAGCAGAGCGTGCAGACTGCGGATCCGAGCTCCTTCCCGGGCCGGGGTCTGAGGCGCAGAGTCGCCCGGGACCTCACATTGGAACTGCAGCGAGGCCTGCATGCCAGGCCTGATTGAAGACATCAAGCCGTGCACTCTACACCAGAGTCACATGGAAGGTTCCAGGGGGACCAGGGAATGTCTCAGAACAGAGTCCACAGTGATGGAAAATATTTCATTCTCCAAAAAAAAAAAAAAAAAATCCTTCTGTAGGCATGGTGGAACAGACCTACAATCTCAGTACACTGGGACGCTGAGGCAGAAAGATCACAAGTCTGAGTCCACACTGGGCAATTTATTGATTTAAGGAGACCTTGTCTCAAAAGATGGGGGTGTCAGGAATCAAACTCAGGACCTCATACTTGCCAGGCAGGCACTGTGCAGCTGAACTATATTCCCAGCCCCCTTGTTTTGAAATTAAAGAAAAAAAAAGCTGGGCATAGTGGTGCACTCCTGTAATTCCAGAACTCTGGAGGCTGAGGCAAGAGGATCATTGCAAATTCAAGACTCCAGCCTGGGCTACAAAGTGAGCACAAGGCCAGCCTGAACTACATAGTGAAACTCTGTCTCAAAAAGACCAAAAAGAACAGGCTGGGGATTTAGCTCAGCGGCATAAGTGCCTGCCTTGCAAGTGTGCGGTCGTGAGTTCGATCCCTGGTACCGATAAAAACGAAAAAGACAAAAAAAAAAAAAAAAAAAAAAAAAAGACCAAAAAGGGGTGGGGGAGACAAAAGCAAAAGAAAATCTGGGGATGGCTCAGTCCAAAGGTCCTAGTTTTCAATTCCCCAGTACAACAAAAATAAATAAATAAACAAATATTAAAAAATAAAGAGCCAGGCGTGATAGTGTTGCCTCTAGCCCTAGAACTCAGGAGGCTGAGGCAGGAGGATTTCAAGTTCAAACCCCGCCTGGGTTACACAGCAAGACTCTGTTCTGTTCATACTTGAGCATAGCGGTGCAGGTTTATAATCCCAGCAGTTGAGAGGCTGAGGCAGGAGGACTGTCATGAGCTCAAAGCCTGCCTGGACTACATAGTGAGTTCAAGGACAGTATGAACTACATACCAGATCTCTCATAAAGAAAGGGCAGGGGGTTTAGCTCAGTGGGGTGCCTGCTTGGCAAATTCAAGGTCGTGAGTTTGATCCCTGGCACCAAGAAAAAAGAAAAAGAAAAAAGATTCTAATCTCAAAAAGAAAAATAAATTTTAAAAAACTATTTTATGGGAGCTGGGGATTTAGCTCAGTGGCATAAGTGCCTGCTTTGCAAGCGCGTGGTTGTGAGTTCGATCCCTGGTACCGGTAAAAAAAAAAACAAAACTATTTTATGTTTATTTTTTTGGTACTGGGGATTGAACTCATGACCTTGCGCTTGCCAGGCAGGCACTTACAACACTGAGCTAAAACCCCAGCAAAAGTATTATTAAAAAAGGAAGGGAAAGGAAAAGAAGTATTCTGGCAAGGCATAGTAGTGCATGCCTATAATCCCAGCAGCACTTGGGAGGCTGAGGCAGGAATGTCACCATGAATTCCAGGCTATGTCTCAAAACAAACAAGCAAACAACCAACCAAAAAATGTATCAGACAGAGTGCTTCCCCAGGATGAGTCTATAATCATGACCTCCACCCTGAGCTCACCCTGAGCTCTCTGCGCCCTGTGCTGGGCTGTGTGACGGGGGCTCCCCCAGCTTCAGCAAGGCAAAGGTCGCTGCCAGCCACCCCGCTGACAGGGCAGAGCCCCTGCTGGCCCCTGCATCTGTCTGCTAACTGGGGTCTCTTCCATTGTGAATCTCCAGGCCCCGAGATTCCTTCTCTTCATCCCAACTCACTAGCCTTCCTGGGACCCGAGCTCCCCTCTGCCTGCTCTAGGTCCTCACCGGCCCTGTCCTGCTCACGGCAGCCCTGTAGTTTGTTTTTCCTTCCTTTGCTGTCTTAACTGAAGACACACTGACCCTTTATTTGCACAATCTTAGGAAGGAGGGAGCCAAGGTAACCTCAGGCTTTGCATCTCTGACATAAGTGGCGCCATCTTTCCCAGCAGTGCACTGGCACTCCCAGGACAAATGCCCTGTGTGTCCCACAGTGAGCCATGGGGTCGCGGCTGGTGGCTGCAGGCAGCTCACTGCCCCTTCGTGTCAGGACAGGCCCGACACTAGCGCACTGGGTCTCTCCGCAGCTTAACACCTCTGTCCTTCGACCCTGTCACCAGCAACTCAAGCAGCATGTGGAGGGCTGTGACAGAGTGAACCTGTCACTGTGAACCGAGTGAACCTTTCTATACTGCTGCATCTTTTTTTTTAAATGTGGTAGATACTGACCAGAGGGACTTCACACGGAGCTACATCAACTCTTTTTTTTGTTTTTATCGGTACCGGGGATCGAACTCATGACTGCCTGCTTGCAAGGCAGGCACTTATGCCGCTGAGCTAAATCCCCAGCCCCCATCAACTCTTTTTTGTTGTTATTTTTTGAGACAGGGCCTTTCCAAATCGAAGTCACTAAATTGTCCGAGCTGGGTTCAAACTTGCGCTCCTCCTGCCTTAGCTATGTTCACTGTATGCTGCAACAGATGTATTAATTGTATTCGTCTGGCTAACAATCTTAACTCAGGCATGTTTTTTGAGTTAGGGCTTATATTACAGGCATCCTGAAAAATGATGCTAGGGTTTATTTTCTGGTTAGGTCTTATTTTGGGGGAAATACAATACATAGCCCAAGCTGGCCTCGAACTCATGTCAATCCTCCTGCCTCAGCCTCCCTAATGCTGAGATTATAAGCATGCACCACCTCGCCTGGCTTATGCTGTAATATGAAGTTATAAGTTTGATGAGAGAGAACAGAGCATATCCCAGTGTCCAGCTGTGTGTGCGCATGCACACACATGTGTAAGAGCAGCTGAAGGTATAACGAAACGGTGAAAAAGATAAACCAGCCAAACTAACACAGAAGGTGCGCTCCTATGTTTGTGTCACACAAAATTCAGATTTTTTTTATCAATGTCATATCCATGTATTAGACACAGAAACACTTGTCGCTAGCCCACCGCTGGAGCACATTCCCGCTGGTATCTTCGGGACTTTCTATCGCTGTGGACACATAAAGCAGGGCTCCACAGTGCAGCTGCAGATTGCATGATTCTAAGAAGTAGGTTTCTTTTTAAAAACTTGTTTTTACTAGCACGTATTGAAGAACATAACGATCACACTTCTTTTGGCGAGCAGGTGTCTGGACAGCACGTTTCTCTTTTTTGGAACCTCTTGACCTTGAGCTTGCCAGGCTCGGCTACCTCCCCTGCCAGAACCCCTTTCCACCCTCCGCCCCCTTGCCTTGGACAAAAGATCCCCCAGCCCCTTCCCAGTTACCTGGTTTTCCTTCTGCTCTTGGATTAGTTACCTCTGGGTTTCTCACCCAGGAGAAACCAGGCCATATCTGTACTTGCGTGTCTGATTTATTTCACCGAACATTATGGTTTCGCAGTGCTCCCATTTCCCCACAAATGACCCAGAGCCGGCTAGGGAGCCAGGCAGGCCAAGCAGAAGATGGGGGTTTATCCAGGGACAGCGGAGCTGGGAGGGTTCCCCACCTCCCCAGTGGCGCAGAGGTGGGCGGAGAGGTGCAGGGGACCGGCTGTGTCCGGGCAGCACCCAGGAGGCATCTGTGGCCCTGTACTTCTGGCCACTTCCCTTCCGGGGACCTGGGTGCTTTGCCAGAACTCAGGACCACAGCTCCCTCTGTGCCCAGATGTTTATATTCCAGTCCTGCTTCAACCCCTAAACTCCACAAAACTATGCTGGGGGGAGTGGCACTAGCCTCTCACTGTACCACTGGGGAGGCTGAGGCAGGCAGTCTCCTGGAGTTCAAGGCCAGCCTGGGGTCCATAGCTAGACGATGCCTCAAAACAAACCAAACAAATCCCAAATAAAAGAAAGTTCCAAAATGTGCAGGAGGGGAAAAAAAGAGTCTGCTTCTCTGATCTCAGATCTTTACCTCACTGTTCAACAGAGGCACTGAAGCCTCTGGGCCTGGCCTGTCTTTGCTCCCCGGCAGCTTTGGAAAATGAGGTTAGGAGACTGGGTGTGGTCAATCGTGCACACCTGCAACCCCAGCCAGGGCTCTGGAGGCTGAAGCAGGACTGCAAATTTGAGTCCAGCTTGGGGTGAGGCAGAGGGATCACTGCAAGTTCGAGACCAGCCTGGCTACAAAAAATGAGTTCAAGGCGGGCCAGAACTACATGCCAGACCCTGTCTCAAAAAGACAACAACAAAAAAAACAGGTTGGGAGGCAGAGAGGACGCGTCTACCGGCTTTAGCTAACATTGTCCTTTTCCTGGTTGTAGATGCGAGTCTGACCACACAATCCCCCACTAGACGTAGTGCTTTCTACTGCAGAATCATGAGCCCTTTGCCTGCTGTGGTGCAGTTACGAAGCATAAATTACAAAACAGGAAATGATTCCATTTTCAATAGGAATTTAATTTTACTCCCGTTTCAATCACAAAATAACACAAGTCATATAAAGCTGCCTCTGCTCTCTATCCAGTAAAGCACTAGCTAGGTGTCTGTAAGTCTAGCATTCTGGGAGGCTGAGGCAGGAGGATTATATCCAAACAAAAAAATTATTGTGGTGCCAGGGATTGAACTCATGACCTCGTATTTGCCAAATGGGCTCTTACGCTGCTGAGCTAAACCCCTGGCCCCTGAAAAAATAGTATTTTTTAAAAAGGGAGGCCTGGGAGTGTAGCTCAGCGTGAAGGGTCAGGCTTTGAACCCCAAGCTGTGTCTTCCTGCTCTGGCCTGGGGAACCGGGGTGTCTTCTGGTTTCTGCTGAGCATTTATAACTTGAAAAGAGCACTTTAAGAATACCAGGTCTTGCTGTGTGTTCCACCTGGTCTTGAACTCAGGCACTCAAATGATCCTCCTGCATAGGCTTCCCATGGAGCTGCTTCTGCACCCAGCTATGTTACTGAATGGGCTTTTTTTGGAGACAGAATCTTGCTATGTAGTTCAGGTTGGCCTTGAGCTCAAAGAGATGCTCTTGCCTCAGCCTCCTAGTGCTGGAATCACAAGGATGTACCACCATGCCCAGCCTGAACCTTTTTTTTTACTTTCCCCATTTTCTTTCTCTTTTATGATAGAACCAAGTTATTCTTTTTGACTTAATTGTAATTAGTTTCACTGAAATTCCTTCTCCTTTAGGTGGAGCTGCCAAGCTCATTTTTTTTAATCTCTCATTTTCAAGATAAAATAATTTATACATTCTTTAATTTCTCTGTGTGAGGGGGGGAATTTTTTTTTTTTTTTTGTCTTTTTGAGACAGGGTCTCTATATAGTTCAGACTGGCCTTCAGCTCACTTTGTAGTCCAGGCTGGTCTCAAACTGGCAATGATCCTCCTTCTCCTGCCTCAGCCTCGAGTGCTGGGATGACAGGTGTGAGCCACCACGCCCTGCTGAGGGGGGATTTTTAAGAGAGTCTTGCTATGTAGCCCAGGTTAGGCTCACTCCTACCTCAGCCTCCCAAGTGGTGAGATTACAGGCGTGCACCACAGTGCTTAGCAATGTTCTCCAAAAACAGTACTAAAAACTTTCATCTTAGCAACTCTGATGAAAAGAAAAAACCCAGATGTGATTCTCATTTTTTGCTGACTTTTATCAGTTTCCGAAGGTCGCCCCAGCAGGTGGTCTGGACCCCAAGGGTCCTAGGACGCGTCTTCCTCGATGTTCCGCTGCAAAGGTGCCAGGACCACCCCCAGGTTCCGGTCCTCGCTCTCGGCACTGTAGATGCCATGCTCCTGGATGTACTCCTGGACCGGGTCTGGCACCAGGTAGCGGATGCTCTGGCCGCGGCGCAGTGCCCTGCGGATCTTGGTGGATGAGATGTCGTTGGTGACCCACTCGTTCACCAGGTGGATGTCGTGCCGGTGTCTCCACAGCACATCGGACTCGTAGATGAACTTCTGGGCATCGCTGCCGGCCCGGGTGACGCACACGAGCCCGTAGTCCGCCAGGATGCGGGCAATGTCCTCGCTCTTCCACAGGTTGGGCACCCCGAAGGACTCCAGCAGGTCTGCACCGCACAGCAGCTTCACCTGGGGCGCGGCTGGGAGGAGAAGAGAGCAGAGCTCAGCCCCTGCTCCTGGGCCTTAAAGGATGAGGGGTGGTGACACACACCTGTCATCCCAGCATGTATAGGCTGAGGCAGGAGGGTCACCCCAAGTGTGTAAGGCTATCCTGAACTGCATAGCAAGCCTCAAAATCCCCAACATAAATAAAACAACAGTGTGGTGTGTTTTTCTAAAAAGATTGTTCTGTTTTTATCAAATTCAAAAAGATCCAGGGCACCCCAAAAGCTAAAGACCACTGCAGCAGAGGTGGGCTCAAGGCGCTTGTTATGCTCCTGGTCGGCTTTTGTAAAACCAGCAAGCGTCATTTGTGCACGAAACACGAACCTGGAAAATTCCCAGGGAATTGCACCAGCCCCTGAGCAAGCCTTCTGCAAGTCGAGAGGGGAAGTACGGACCTTTTGTGTTCGGCTGCAGGGGCTTCTTTTGCGTGGAGTTCTGTCTTGGTTCGGCCCACTTCCGCTTCCGGCTGGGCTTTTCCTGCTCGGGGGAGTTCTGCCACTGGTGACAGCTGCCAGCCTCCAGCCTCTCCTGATGGTGTCTAGACAATGACACAACAAATTGGGTGAGGCGGTGGATGCCTGAGATCTCAGTATGCTGGGAGGCTGAGGCAGGAGGATCACCAAGTTGAGCCCAACCGAGGCAACTCAGTGACTCAGTTGAGAACCTGTCTCAGAATTTAAAAGCTAGAAAAGGGCCGGGGTGGAGCTTGGCATGAATGCTGTGGTCCAATCCCCAACACTACAAAAAGTACAAAATGACAAGCAAGCAAGACAGCAGAGTGTCCTCTCTCACACAGTGCTCACTGACCCGCTGTCGGGAGACTCGGGAGTGACAGAGCGGGTGACACTGGGATATTTTCCCTCATCTGCTCGATGCCCAACAGTCAGCACAGCCCACATGAGGAAAATCCGGGAGCATGCCTGGTGGCTATGAGTACCCCAAGATCTGTGTGTTAGTACTGAATGTTAGTACTGTATGTGTTCCCCTCGTAACACTTTATGTGGACTCCCTGAATTTGTTTTTGAGGTATTTGAACTGTGGGTCTCATTCTGAGCTATATGCTCAGCCCTTTTAAATTTTTTTGAAACAGGTTATCACTATGTAGCCTTGAACTCTCCTGCTTCAGCCTCCTGAGTTCCAGGATTAAAGGCATATGCTACTGTGCCCAGCTGTAATTTTTCTTTTTTTTTGGGGGGGGGGTGGTGGTACCAGGGACCGAACTCACAACCCTGTGCTTGCCAGGCAGGCACTGAAGCTGCTGAGCTAAATCCCCAGCCCCTAAATTTTCTTGAGACAGGATCTTAATAAATTGTCCAGGCTGATGTTGAACTTGGCACCCTTATGCCTGAGTCTCCAGAGTAGCTGGCAGTATAGGTGCCCAGCATAGAGCAGTGTCCAGGCTAAGAGCACAGAGGTCTGGTGCCCCCCATGGGTTGTCACAGATGCAGCACACAAAGCCAGCCTCGGGCCACCCCATCCTCCCTCTGCAACCACAGTGACTGCAACAGCAAGGGCAGACGGGAGCTACCTTAACACCTTCACGGTCTCCACCCACTCCTTCTGCAGGCTCTCCCATGGGTCCACCTCCACCCAGCCCGAGGTCTTGGTGGCCAGTTCCGCCATGGTGACCCGGTGGTGCGCAGGGATGAGTCCCTTCTTCTTATATGCGTCGCCCACAGGAGAAATGATGCCCTTGACCACTCTGTATTTCCCTGCAAAAAGACTGAGGTTTTATCGATGGGCGTGATGAGGCACACCTGTAATCCCAGGTCTCAGGGGGCTGAGGATCTCCATGAGTTCAAGGCCAGTCTGGGCTACATACACAGTGAGACCCTCTCTTGAAAAATCCAAAAAAGAAACAAAAACAAATTAGTCTTATTCTAGGAAATATTATATCAATCTTGTTGTATAATCAGATCCTTTAAAAAAATAAAAACAAGGTCTCATTAGGTAGCCCAGGCTGGCCTTGATCCTCCTGTCTCAGTTTCTTGAGTGTTGGATTACAGTTGTGAGCCACCACATCCGGCTTAAATTTTAACTTTTATTTTTATTTATTTATTTATTTATTTATTTGTCTTTTTCGTTTTTATCGGTACCAGGGATCAAAAACTCACAACTGCCTGCTTGCAAGGCAGGCGCTTATGCCGCTGAGCTAAATCCCCAGCCCAAATTTTAACTTTTATTGGTACATGTTTGTAGTATAAAATGATTATATCATAGGTCAGGAGGTACAGCTCAGCACAAGGCCCTGGGCTCAATCCCCAGCATTGTAAAAAATCATATTCTAGGATGCTGTGGTGCATGCACATTCAGGAAGCTGAGGCAGGAGGACTGCTTCAAGTTCAAGGCCAGCCTGGGCTACATAGTGAGTTCAGGACCAGAATGAACTACACAGTAAGATCCTGTCTCAAAAAAAAAAAAAAAAAAAATCATAAAACAAAAAAACTAAAGCAGAAAAGATCACGTGCATCGTGGGGAGTTGATACATGCCATAGTACCCTTCATATTTTTTGCCACTTCCTCCCTCCTCCCCCATCTCTAGGTTCCCTTCTCTTTTGCAGAGGATTCATCTCCTGCACCCCATTAGCTATGTAGAAAAACCACTCTGGACCAGGGTGGCTTCCAGGCTGGTGGGGAGGGAGGAGCCGGAAGCCAGAGCTGTCCCAGGTGGCCTGCAAACCTGCACCCCAAGGCTGCTCTCCCCCTGACTTCACTGAGCCAAGATGGCAGGGAAAGGAAACAGTTTACTCACCTGTCTGTTGCAAACCTGGTACCTAATTGATCTGGGATGAAGGGTTATCACGGAAAAGCAATGACAGCAGGGTTCATGGTTTCTTTGCTTTTTTTTTAGTTTTTTTCTTTTCTTTTTTATTTTTTGAGACAGGGTCTTATGTATCCAGGAGGCCCTCAAACTCCTGGCCATCCTCCTGCCTCAGCCTCCCAAGTGCTGAGATCACAGGCACGCATTACCATGCCTGGCATTTTTTTTTTGTTTTTTTTGTTTTTTTCATTTGGGAATGACAATGTAACCTGGCACGGTTTTAAAGACTGGAAAATCTTTACTGATCCGTCTGTGAGGCTCTAAATTCCAAATGTGATTTTTAATTTGTGTAGACCCATGAGCGGGTGCCCAATCTTCCCTGGACACAACCCACCCCGCTTTTGGCCTAAGCCACTGTGCCCAGGTACTGATGCATGCACACCGGGTGGGATGGAGCCCCGCAGCCGCCCCACCTGTCGAGTTCATGTGGTCCCGCGCCAGCTCAAAGAGCCGCAGGTGCATGTTGGTGATGGGGTTAAAAGAGCCGCACGCCAGGAGAACCACTTCTGTCCTCTCCAGCTCCTCCATGGTGTGCACCAGAAGTTGCCGATCTACGTGGGAACCTCTGACGCCTGCCCCGTCATCTACATGGGACAAAGAATGGAAACTAGGTTACAGGCTGCTGAGACCCTCCCTAGTCTCACTGTGACCAGATGAATAAACGCATTTGCTGGGAAATGATTCGCAACAGCTGAACAGAGAGGCCTCCGTGTCAAATGTGAAAATATAGCTCCGGGGACAGAGGTCGTGGGGGCCACTTCTCCACTCTCTGTCACTTGCTTTGCCCCAAACAATGTGACAGAAGTTGCTGGGCAGAGCAGTGCAAACCTGCAATCCCAGCACACAGGATGAGGCAGGAGGATCACCGTGAGTTCAAGGCCAGCTCCCTGGTGGCTCCCTCTTTAGAAAACCCTGCTCTCTTGAGAACTAACCCATCCCAAGAACCCCAGGGACCTTGCTACCTTCCACCAGGCCCTACCTCTTTCTAGTTGTCTTGGATTTGGTTTTTTTTTTTTTTTTTTTTGCACCAGGGATTGAACTCACAACCATGTACTTGCAAGGAAGGTGCTTAAGCCGCTGAGCTAAACCCCCAGCCCTGTCTTGTTTTTTGAGACAGGGTCTCCTTATGTTGTTGATGCTGGCCTTGAACTCATGGTGATCCTCCTGCCTCGGCCTCCCAAGGGCTGGGATCACAGGTGTGCACCACCATACCAGCTTCTTGTCTACAGAAGCCACCCCTAAACCACAGCAGGGGCTTCATGCCCTTGCTCTCTGCACTGCTCCCTGTGCCATGGGCAGCAGCTTAGGCCAGCCCGAAGTAGACACAGCAGGCAGGGCACTGGCGTCCAGCCCATGATAGCCGTGCACTCACAGCCAGGTTGGCCCGGGAGCCACAGCCAGCTTCCTTGGGTCCCTGAGATACTAGGCTGGCGCAGATCAGTGACCGCAAACTGCCCATACGTGAAGGCAGGGCATGCTGCTTAGCAGCATCAGTTACTGATACAGTAACAGCATCATTCACCCAATGAATCCGCAAGCCGGCTTTCTCCACCAACACGATCATAACACTATGGCTTCCCACCGAGTACAAATATAAACTCCTTATCTTAGCAATATTTTCTGTAACCCTTCCCCAACCCTAATGAACCCAGGCAAGATTTTAAAAGAGGGACTGAATCAGGCACGGTGGTGCACACCTGTGATCCCAGCACTCGGAAGGATCACTGTAAGTGCAAGGCCAGCCTGTACTGTGCAGAAAGGTCCTGTCTCAAAAAACCAAACCAAAGGGCCGGGGGTTCAGCTCAGTGGCATAAGTGACTGCACGGCAAATGTGCAGTCATGAATGCGATCCCAGGTAACAAAAAATATTTGGCACCCAGGGATATAGCTGTTGTGCAACACTTGCTTAGCAAATGCAAGGCTTCGACAGTATCCTTGCTGCCATACAATTAAACAGAAATTTGAGCGGGGCTTGGAGAGGTAGCGCGTGGGGAGTACTTGTCTAACATGCATGAAATTCTGGATCCTGAAAAAAAGCTTTTTTATTTATTTATTTAGGTCTTTTTCGTTTTTATCGGTACCGCAGATCAAACTCACGACCGCCTGCTTGCAAGGCAGGCGCTTATGCCGCTGAGCTAAATCCCCAGCCCCGAAAAAAAGCTTTATAATACAATTTTTCCTAAAATAATTCCTGGACATAGATTTTGAAATCTCAGAATGAAAAAGGCCCAGAATAAAGAAAACCACCACCCACATCCCCTCTATGTAGCTGGGCAAAGGTGACTGCTTTTAATTTTTTCCAATAGATTCTGTATTTTGAGTTTATGATGCTCTTTCTCTTTTTCTTTCTTTCTTTTTGGACACAGTCTTACCATGTGGTCCAGGCTGGCTCTGAATCTGCAGTGATCCTCCTGCCTCAGCCTCCAGAGCACTGGGATTACAGGCACACACCACCATGCCCGGCTTCCGGTCAGCTGTTAAGTGATCTGACTGAAATACCAGCTCGTGACCATCTCATCAGGCCAGTGAGGAGCCCTACTTAGGCCCCCGTTCCCTTTCCTGCACCCTCCGCATCGACCGGGCTCTGCAGATGCCCAGCAGCAGGGCTTCCCAGGCCGGCTCAGGAGGCCGCAGGCTGAGTCCCACCGTGGCTGTGCGCTGGAGGACAGCCAGGGAGACCGCGCTTCACTCAGCCAGGGACAGAAGCCTCACAGGAGAGAGGCAGAGAGGAGGCCAGGAGCAGGCCCAGCCCCGAAAGTCCCCAGGAGGCCCCACCCCACTGGGAACGCCAGGTTCAAAGGCTTGGGCAGGGGACTGGAGAGTTCGGGAATGAAAAGAATCAAGGAGGAGGCTGTGTTAGGTACACGAACCAACACCCTGAGATCACTGGAAACGTATGTACTGCAAACCTGTACTCATAAAAAACAAAAGTAAAATTTAAAAAGCCGAACTCAGTTGGTGACGCATGCCTACACCCCCAGCACTTGGAAGGCTGAGGCAGGAGGATCACTGCAAGTTCAAGGCCAGCTTTACCTACGTAGTTAGACCCTGTCTCCAAAAATCAACAACAAATAAAAAAGCAGAAACAAAACCTCCCACAAATTCAAACAAACAAAACCATTTATATATTTTTTTTTGTACCAAAGATGAAACTCATGACCCTGTGCTTGCAAGGCCAGAGCTTATGCCACTGAGCTAAATCCCCCGCCAAAACCATTAATCTGAACTCCCACAGTTCTACTGATTTTTTCTAATTAATCCATTTTTGGTCAGTTAGATTTTTTTTGTCTTTTTTATACAGGGTCTCACTATTCAGTTCGGGCTGGCCTTGAGCTTACTTGTAGCCCAGGTTGATCTTTAACTTGCAATGATCCTCCTGCCTCAGCCTCCCAAGTGCTAGACTTACAGGCGTGTACCATGCCCAGCTAGTTTTTTTTTTATTATGGCAAACACTACAAAGAAATAACAACTTAGGGCTGGATTTAGCTCAGTGGTATAAGCGCCTACCTCGCAAGTGTGCGGCCATGAGTTTGATCCCCGGTACAGATAAAAAATAAAAAGAAATAACAGCTTGAAAATGAACTGGAATTTAAGGAACTGTCTTAGTGACTTCCTCATTGCTGTGATGCCCAAGGGTCACAGGCTCAGGAGGAAGGGTGGGCTTTAGCTCACTTTGTAGAAGTTTCCGTCCACCAGTGGTGCCACCTAGTGGTGTGGCTCCTGTCCTCAGTGAATCCATTCGACCACACCCAGAGCGCGAGGGGTACTGGCCCCCTGGGTGAACCAACCCAGAAGGAACTGTGCTCCATGACCCAGCTGCTGCCAAAACCCCATCTAGGGGCACAGGAGGCTTTGGGGAGCATCTGGGATAAAACAGAACAGTTACACAATGTCCTGCTGCTGCCAAGGTTCCATAGGTCTCTGTCTCAGACTGCGTGCGTTACGCTTCCCAGACAAACAGGATTAGCGGGATGAGTGTCTAGATACAAGACAGTAGATTTGGTACTGCTTTTTTCTTTTTTTTTTTTTTTTATTTAAGACAAGTATGGGTTGAAAAATTCAACAACATACTTGATCTGCATTTTATACTTTAATAAAGTTTCAGATCATAAAGCATAATTTTCCTATTCAAATTTTTGCATATTTTACTTGAAATATAATATTTATAAAACAAAACAGCTACTGTTACAAGAACAACATTATCGGTAAAGTTGTTTACTTTTTTTTTTTTTTTTTTTGTCTTTTTCCTTTTTATCGGTACCGGGGATCGAACTCACAACTGCCTGCTTGCAAGGCAGACGCTTATGCCGCTGAGCTAAACCTCCAGCCCCTAAAGTTGTTTACTTTTTTTTTTTAAAGTTGTTTACTTTTTAATGGTTGCAGTGTAGCCAATTTTCCTTACTAAGTACCTTCAGGGATATAGACACACTTATGGTTCCTGAATACAACCAAGAATATGAGATTGACAAAGAAATACTATATACACATACATACATACATACATACATACATACATATTTCAAGTCAATTGAAAGACTTTTGACTTCAATTTTGAAAATACATTTTAAAATACTCTCCCTCAACTACCGTTAGCACATTTCATCATGCCTTCACTGAACAAGTCCTAGGAGTTACAGTGTCCTGTGCTCCCACATGTTTCTGTGTTGGGGCAGCCATTAATCGTCTTCTTTCTCAATATAGGCCTTTGCATTAGCTCGTGCCATCTGCCTGGCCAGATAACTCTCTGGCTGACGGTAGTTTCTTCATTCCTTCTCCTTACATGCTTGCGCACTGCCTCTGGTGGTCTCTTGTTCTCTGTCCTGCTCTTGCCTTTCCTCGGAGGCTGTTTTGTTTTTGAGGCAGGGTCACATTATGTAGCCTAGGCTGGATCCTCCTGCCTCAGCCTCCCCAGTGCTGGGATCACAGGTGTGTACCAGCTCGCTGAGCTTGAGGATGGCTTAGGGGAACTGGCTGAGAAGCTCCATCAAGGGCCAGAAACCCCAGGAGGTGGGCAGCGGGCCCAGTCCATATCAGAAAGCCGGGCAGCCATGGGGTAAGAGTCTGAGATGGAAGGCTGATAACTCAGACTGCCGCGGAGTCTCATCGGCAACACCCCTTCCTGTTTGTCCCCACCCACCCTGCCCCAGGAAGCCTTTACTGGTGCCTGGTAGCATCAGAAATGAAAGACACCCCCCACACACATTGCTGTGACCAAGCTTTGCTCAGGCTGGCTTTGGGGGACAAAGCCAGCAGATGACCTACCCAGAGCTGGAACCCGACTTTGACCCTCAGGGTCTCCCAGCAGGACAGGAGAGGGCAACGGGCAGGGGAAGCCAGGCTTCATACCTGAGGAGGGGGGAACTGACGGGGCTCAGGAGCAGAGCGGCAACCGTCTTCTAGAAAGTGTCCCAGGCGGCTGAGGCAGGAGATTTCAAGTTTAAATTCAGCCTAAACAACCAAAATTTAAAGATAAACACAATAGAGGGCATGGTGGCACACGTGTGGGTGTCTGAGGTAGGAGAATCACAAGTCTGAACCCAGGCTGAGCAACTCAGTGATTTAGTGAGATCCCGTCTCGAAATACATATAAAAATGGTGGAGGATGTAGCTCAGTGTGAAGGCTCTGAGTTCGATCCCTAGTACAACACACACACAAAGAAAATCGAACTCTTACTTTAACCCTGACCCTGTGACCATCTATTTGTGACCAGGCAGTGACTGAACCATCTTGGCTGCTCTGAGATTCTTCTTTGGTTCCTGCTGTTCTGGGTGCTGCCCCCAGGAACTGGTTCTGGGGCTGACCCTTGTCCTGAGCGCTCCCATCACCCACCATGGAGCTGCTGATCCCAGGCCAGGGACGAGCCCCCTGCCCAAGTCAGACGGGCCAGGAATCAGGGGCATGTGGGAAGCCAACCTGGCCTGGCATTCGGTGGGCATCACAGGGACACTGCAGCTGGGAGGTGAGGCAGGGGACAGTCACTCATGCGGAAACAGAGATGATCAGGAGCTCTAAGGACTGTCCCTGTTGGGGCAGGGAGCTCGGGTTTCCAAGCCACCTGGGGAAGCTGATCTTTCTGTCCCTTGACACAGGCAGGACCTGTCTCAAAGCCCAGGTCAGGTTTCGTAGGAGTCTGCAGCAGAAGAGAAGAGGAGGAGAAGAGGAGAGAGAAAAGGAGAAGAGGAGAGAGAGAGAGAGGAGAGGAGCAGAGGGAGAGAACTCCGCCGCGGGGCAGGGGTCCGGCTCCTCCCTGCAGGGGTCCCGGCCAGCGGCACCATGATCCACTTCTGTTTGGTCCACTCCGCCTGGGGCGTGCACTGCTGGCTGCCGCGGTCTCATCGGGTCAGGCTGTGAGTGTCACTACCCAGCACCACCAAAAGGGAGTTCGCTTCTCCCGGTGACAGTCCTGAGGCTGAACTAAATGTACTTCTGATTCTTTTTTGGTCACTTCTGATTCTTAAATGGTAGATCTCTTCAAGTTTTATAAACATGGAGATATAAACATTAATGTAACATTTTGTAAACATTAAGCCAGTTTGGTTTTGTTTTTCTGAGACAGGGTCAGGCTGGCCTCAAACTGAAGTGATCCTCCAGCCTCAACCTCCCAACAGCTAGGATTATAGGCGTGCACCACCACATCTGGCTCTTGAAGTCATTTTATGACCGGGTAAGTAATATCAAATGTCCCTCTCTGCTCCATGCAGGCAAGTCACCGTGCTCCTGCTGGGGCTCAGCGCCATAGCACTCCAGCTCTACGTGCTGCTCAGGTTAGTCCGAACCCCCACCTCGCCCTGAGCAGTGGGCCTCACCTGTGGTGGGGTTTTGGGTGTCCTCTGGGAGGCCGGCTCTGTGGCTTAGTGTGGCCTGTTCCATTGTCCCCGGTACCCGGGCTGGCAGTGTCACTGAGATGGGAGCCGATTGTCATCTATGCTCCTAGCAAAAGCAGCTATGACATGAGACAGGACCACTGCGTCTCTGTGGATTTCTCTAGAGACCCACCATCTAGCATCAGTTAATGTCTTGGGGCTGGGGACAACAGGACGCACGCAACCAGGCAACTGCCTGATGAGCTTCTGTGCGCTCAACTTTGGGCACTGCTCTGGGCAGAAGCAGCCAGTTAATGCTCTGTCCGGAGAACAGGAAGCAAGAGCGACTGGATGAACATCAAAGAAAATACTTCAGTCCTCCAATGTGGGGGAAAAGATTTTCTTTTGAGACAGGCTCTTGGCTGGATATGGTGGTAAGAACCTATAATCCCAGCACTCGGGAGGCTGAGGCAGGAGGAGCACTGCAAGTTAAGACCAGCTGGGATTTATAGTGAGTTCAAGACCCTGTCCTGAAAGAAAGAAAAAAAGAAAGAAAGAAAGAAAGAAAATAAGTCTTGCTATGTAGTTCAGGCTGATCTTGAACTCACTATGGAGCCCAGGCTGGCCTTGAAATCATGGTGATCCTCCTGCCTCAGCCTCCCAAGTGCCGGAATAACTGCTCTTATTACCATAGTTCTAAAAAGAAGTGAGCTGTCCAGAGGCAGAATGAACCTGGTGCCAGACGTAGGGTTAGCATTCATGGCTGGCCCTTCCAGCAAGGACTTCTGTAGAGGATTCTTGTAGTAACGAGTGAATCAGATCACCAGCTGGCTTCTGACTTTCAGGCCCCGATCATCTAGATACTGCAGTCAGCCTCTCCTGAACAACCTGGTCGGCAGCATCGTCCTGACGTTCTTCGCCATCGGTGAGTGTACAATCATCAGCCGTGCACTCATTTGGCACCTACTGTTTGCTAGATGCTGGCTGAACAGAAACAGTTAGCGTAGGACTTCCTACATTTAGAAGCTTGGATTGGACCTTACCACAAAAGTCACATTTCAAATGCAGATGAAGGGACTTGGGGATACAGCTCAGCAGGTACAAGTATCTGCCTGGCCAAGTGCAAGGTCCTGAGTTCAAGTCCTGGTCAAAAAAAAGAAAACTAAACTAAAATTTAGATGAACAGAAGTTTTAAAAACTCTGTTAACTCTTACAGTTGTCCTACTATTTATTTATTTAGTTTTTTTTGCTTGTCATACAATTTGAATATGAAATCTAAAGTCAAGCATGGTGGTGGTGCACGCCTGTCATCCCAGCACTTGGAAGGCTGAGGCAGGAGGATCACCTCGAGTTCAAGGCCAGCCTGGGCTACACAATGAGTTCGAGGCCAGCCTGCACTGCACAGGGAGACCCTGTTGCTTCTGCGATGACTGAACCTAGCACAGCAAGGCCGATCTCTGCCCTTCAGGTCTCACGGTGCTGCTCACTCAGCTGGAGCCGGTGCCAGCGGCCCTGAGGGCGCTGCTTTCTGCATTTGGCGTGGGATCCTTCGGCGAAGGAGTGTGCACGGTGGTGCTGACGGCTCTGGCGGCGGACTGTGTACGTTTCTCGATCCTGACTCTCTGCAGGTTCAGCTTCCCCTGGAAGCTTGGCTATGAGCAAAAACCCCTAAGTCATCCATATTTATTTCCTATGAACACCCAAAATACAGATATGTGGAAATGGAATCCCTAATTAGACACGTGCCACAGTGAAAAGCACTTCTCTGGGAAGATTAAAAACATTCTATAAGATGGGTGTGGTGGCGCACGCCTGTCATCCCAGCACTTGGGAGGCAGAAGCAGGAGGATGGCCACAAATTCAAGGCCAGTCTGGGCTACACAGTGAGAACCTGTCTCCAAAACAAAACAACACCAACTCCAACACCACATGACACACTCTATGAGAGGTTAAGAGGGTAGCTCATAGGTAAGCAGTTCCTTAGCACGAGCAAGGCCCTGGTTTACTGTAACTAAATTCTATAAGAGCTTTGCCTGCCCCGTTCTGTTTTGGCAAATTCTAGGGACTGAACCAACTGAGCTACAGCCCTAGCCATTTTTATGCATATTTTTTGAGACAGAATCTCCATATGTTGTTTAGCATTTTTTCTTTTTTTGTATTGGGGGTTGAACTCAAACTTTGCATCCTCCTGCCTCAATCTCCTAGAGTGCTGAGATTACAGGTCACCA